GGTGTCGTGAGCAGGGACGGTGCAGTCCTGTTCTCTAGGAGAATGCCCTCTCTTTCTTGACGTGGTGGGCCTCTCTAGTGACGACATCTCTGTGCCTAGACCTTTTTGTGGGGTGATGTCTAACTGCTGACTCAGGTTAGCTGGGGGCTGGGGGCTGGGGGCTGGGAGCTGTGCTGAGCCTCTTCTCACTGACTGAGCCCCTACCTTTGCCAGCCTCCCCTGCAGCTGGCCTGGGCCATGTCCATGAGGGACACTGAGGGTTGTCACGTCAGGGCTGGGGCGGGGCAGAGCTGGGGTGCCCCTTGGATAGCTGCCTTCCCCTCAGTGACCTCGGCAGCCACGCGCTGTTAGAGCATAAGACACAGGGCACCTGTTTCTGTCCTGCTGGTGGGGCACACCCACTCGCCCCCTGTGGCGCCAGCGGAGCACGCCCACTCCTCCCAGTGGTGTTAGCGGGGTACGCCCACTCGCCCCGGTGGCACTTGGTGGCAGTGAGAAGTTGTGCAGCCGCCAAGATGAGGGGATTCTGCCTTGCAGTTGGCAGTTCCTGCCCTGACTAAACCACAGGATTATGTCAGCTTTCCACTTCTTCTTGGGTTAGTTATCATAAGTTACGTGTCTGCAGGAACTTGTCTGTGTCTGATTTCCAAGTTGGTTGGCACAGTACCCAGTCTTTCAGTGGCACCTCTGATAGATCCCTGTGGCAGAGAAGTGGGGTGGTAGCCACCCTTCAAGCAAGACCTTGCCCTCAGATGAAGGGGGTAGATGACAGGTGCCAGCCACTCACACCGTGGGCGCTGCCCCTGCCCTTGCCCCTGCCCCAGCAGCCCTGCCCAGTGACTGAGCAGCGGGCCCGGCCCTCCCACCCAGGGGTTCCGAGGCTCCTCTCATGGGCCTTGTCACAGACCCCTCCTCTTTCCTTTCTGACAGCGGTCAGATCTGCTGCTGTCCGAGGCCTCCCTGCCTCCTGTTTCTCCCCTTTTCTGTGCCTGGTGACGGTCCCCTGCCAATACCTTCCCTGGAGACCCACCTTGCAGTCCTGTGACCCTCCTAGTATCATTCTTGAGCCTCCCTGTCACTGTGGGTCACCGGGCGCATACCACGGTCGTCAGCGGTCAGCAGACCCGCTCCCCTCTGTGGGCCCCGTTTGTGGTGTTGCTCCCGTTGGTTCCTGCTCTTTCCCACTCTGCGTGGGTACTGGTGAGAAGCGGCTCTCCTTTACCGCGCCTTCTGCTCCCTGTGACTCCTGTGTTATCAGCTGATGGCACTGATCTGAGCCCAGGTGGCTGGCTGCTGTACTCCCGTGTGGGTGTGCCCGCCCTCCGTGTGCACCACCCCGGCCTGCAGCCGTCAGCACACACGTGAACTTGTGTGTCCCGCCTCTCAGCCTGCTCTGAGGTACATAGTTCCCTGTGTGCCCGGGGGTGCTTCCAGCGTGTGGATGCAGTGAGGGAATCCCACGGGAAAGGGGCCCAGGCCCAGCGCAGGTCGCCTTACTCTCCTGCTCCCCTCCGCCCCTCGCCCTCCTCTCCAATGCACCATCTGTGGTCCCTCCTGCAG